AAAATCTTAAAAAAAAAAAAAAGGCATAATGACTAAATGCAAAGAGTGACCTAAAGTGGATCCTTTTGTTCAGGGCATTATTGGGACAATTCACAAAACTTGAATGCAGTCAGAGGATTAGATGGTAATAATACATCAGTGTTAACTTCCTGATCCTGGTGGCTATATGAAGGTCCTTGTTTATAGGAAAACACTCTAAAGTATTTTGGAGGTAATGGGGCATCATATCAGTAACTTACTCTCAAATTGTTCAGGACAACATTTCTTTGTACTCTCTTTGCAACTTTTCTATAATTTTACTTCGAGATTGTCTCAAAATAAAAAAGTGAAATCAAGATAATCCAGAACACTTAATTCCAGAGAGGACCACCAGGTGGAGTCCTTAGACCAGAGAACTAGTTTTACTTGTCCCTTCTCTTTCTGGGTTAAAAGAAGGGGTTTCTTTACTTTGAAAAAGGAAAGTTGTATGGATTTCCTTTGCTTCAGTACATGAACAGGGACATAAATCAAACTAAAGGTGGTTTTATTCATTGTACGACATCCCTATGAAGTTGAGATTACCTTTTTAAATTTCATTTCTTTTGGGTAAGTTTTCTCAACCTCAGCACTGTTGACATTTTGGGGCTAGATAATTCTTTATTGTGGGGTCATCCTGTGCACTGCAGGATGTTTAACAGTATCCCTGGCTTCTGCTCACTAGATGTCCTGTTGTGACAACCAAAAATATCTCCAGACATTGACAAATATCCCCTAGGAGACAGAAATCTCCAACAGGTTGAGAACCACTGTTTTTGGCAACAGAGTGTTCTCTGCTCTGAGCGCTTTGGTTCCTCTTTGCTCAACAGGGAGCCTAAGAAGTATCTGATCACTCCTAGTGTGGCTGGTACATTGTGTGTGTGTGTGTCGGGGAAGAGTGAAACTTTGGGTGCTGGGAACTGAACCCCGGGACCCAGGATTCTGGTGGGTGCTCAGTGCTGTATCACCTAGGGGTGCTATGCTGTGCACAGACAAACCAAAGAGCCTGGGGTGTCAGGAAAGGCCTTGGGCAACGAGCCAGGAAGGATAAGGCCTGGGCTCAAGGAAAGAAAGCAGTAGAGAAGGCTAGGGTGGGCAGAACCCAGATGCCTCCCAGCTTAATGGGCAGAACCTTAAGATGCTGGAGAATGGCCTTGGTTTCCATTATCCTTGTTTATTCTCATTAAAATGTCCTTTCTGCTTCACTTCTCCACCTCCTTCCCTTTCTATCCTCTGATCTGGACCTCCACCCTTCACCTGCTCCCAGGGGCCCCAGCATACCTCAAGCATTCAAGCATACAGCCCTCTTCAGCCATATTATGGTGATTCAAATGCAGTGGAGGGCAGTCTCCCCAGACTCCAATGCGCCCTACGGCTGGCCCCCTTTACGCCATGTTGCCCTCCTGGTTTCTTTAAAGTTCAATTCTTCCCCTTTCCGTTATAGGTATAGCTTCTGTAAAAAGTGCAGCTTCCCCCAACCCTTTCGAGAGTTACAAAGTGTCAAGTCAGCAGTGGCCTGGGAGGGATGGAGATGAGCCTGTGGGGACCACTGGGAGGTGCCAAAGAATTTGGGGACAAGGTCAGAGGACTATCATCTCCTGGAAATAAAGCTAGGTTAAAACAAATGCATCGTGGCTGGATTTGGCCAACTGCAGAATTAACCCCCCTCCTATAGAGAGCCAGCCCCCCTCCCTAGAGACAGGAAGGGAGCCACCTTGCCAGTGTATGGCCCAACGCAAGTCACTTTACCTCTATGAGCCTCAGTCTACAAAACAACAGATTTAGGGGAGATGACCCGTGACTTTATCCCATAAAGCAAAATCAATAAATATGTCCCCACCTTTACTGAGTCCAAATATCCTTAAGGTTGGGCCATGTTGAACAGGCATTTTCTATGGTTGGTCCTTTTTAACAAGGTGGTGTTTTGTCCGTAGGACTTTGTGAACAGCTTCTCAGCTTGCCACCACCCTCAGCAGCCCCAGGACCGGCCAGCCCTGCCACTGCAATGAGGGTCGTGCACTCTGAGGCTGCCTGGTTGGCTTCTTATAGTGGCGGGTGTCCTTTGGGAATAAAAGGAATTTATTTCTGATTCAGTCCCAAACACGTTAGACCATAGCTCTCAGTGGCTAAAGAACTCCAGGGGGCTAAAATGGTGCCTTGCACCAGAGGTACTTAGCAATTGCTGGTTTTGATTCCATGTCGGTCTCATGGGGGATGTTGAACCCTTACCAATATTCTGCCCTAGTCCTGGCTACTGTCTCCCGGACACACTCACTCAATCCTTCGTTGCCTCACATTGACAGCTCCTGGTATCGTGCTCATGGTGGGTAGCTGTCAAGGTTGTGTGGCCGACCCCCACCTTCTGAGAGCTACACAGTGCTCCCCTCTTCTGGCTCTGAGGTTGCTGGAAAGTTCCCTGCAGCCGCGTTCTACTATACAAACTCCCTGTGGCCACAGCTGGTGGGGCTGGATGAACACTGATATGAAGCAGGATAACTGGGGCCAAGAAGCAGATTCAGAAAGCTTACCTAGGGAGTTTGATCCGTACCAGTTTTGCCTGGGAGATGTCAGTGGTCTTGTCATTTGTCCTAACTGGAGAGGCCAGGAGGACAGACTACAGGCAATGAGGGTCCAGGTCACATTTAATGCTGGCCCCAGGGGTCCCAAGGCCCAGCTGCACCCTTCCTGAAATTCCGAGTCAACCCTGGAGTCCTAAAACAGGGCCCCTCACCCACTTTTGTTTTTCCCTAAGTCAGTTCTAATTGGTGCATTTCCTTTATTTGTAGCCATAAAGGCTGCAGATAAACGCCAA